TAGGGATGAACTATGATGTCTAACAATCCTTCTCACAGGTCACTGTCGTATGAATCATCATACGCAGAACTAGGGCTGTCGGTAGACAGTGTGTGTCGCTTCTGTTTGAAAAATGATGAAACAGCAGAGCACATACTTTATGCTTGCCCCGCTGCGGACCAAATAAGGTTTCAGACTTTGGCAGAGCCGCACTCTTACCATCTGACCTCAAAGATTACCCACCATATGAACTAATCGGCTTCGTTGAGAATAAACTGTTGCGGGTAGCGGTGGAGGGTCGAATAGACCCACTCACTTATGACCTAACCTAACCTAGTGTGACAGTCAGAATCCACAAACTTGTCGAACCTTCTGGAGTGCTTGAAATAAGTAGTAGTAAGAAACAAAGTATATCATTTTTGTTGAATAATAAATTACTGAAGGCATACATGCATTTAACGAAATCAAAAACAGAAGCAGGAAAGGTGCAATGATGATAAACTTTCCATAATTTCAACACTCCTAACTACCCACCTTGTTTCTCAATGCACGAAGTAAATCTCTAACAGATTCACCATGATAGTTTCTGTATTTCTTCAAATCGGATGCCACCTCTTCATGGATATGCTGTTTCCAATCACACCTGACGATGTAACGGGAATCATCTTCTAATTCTTGCAAAGCGTGATCTACTAATTCTGCTTTTTCCACTCTGTCACTAACTTCCTAAAATGAAAATTTTAGATGTACTGAAATTACATAATAATAATCATAATTATTTTTATACAAAGACTACATTATTATCACTCTTTTTCAATTTCTTCACCTCATTTCATTCCATAATGGAAATAAAGATTGGGCAACAAAGAGAATAGCGGTCAAAACACAATTCACCACTCTCATCTTGCACCTGTGGAAATTGGAGTTCCTCAGGGGAGTGTTCTTGCTCCAGCTCTATTTTCATTCTACATAGCAGACATTGTAAAATACCTCTCACATTTTAAATTAACATTATACGCTGATGATCTCTCCATATTAGTATCACAAAAACCTCACGATCTCAATCAACAAGCTTGCAATGATCTCATGGAAAAAATCATTTTATGGTTCTCTATTAATAGTCTTTATATCAATGCTAACAAGACACAGTTTATTATTTACTACACAAAACAGATAACGGCTGTTAGTCGGGGTATCTGAATTATTGAGAGTTAAAACCACTCTTCTAAATCCCTAATGAAAAAGCTTGTTCAGTCTAGTGCAATTGGAGTAACAACTACCCAACCATTATTTAGACTCATACGAGAAACTTGCATCCTTTCACGCTATTTCAAAAATTGAAAATATAGATGGAATGAATGCGTTACACCTCACCTGGAAAAAACTCAATATGTTGTCATAACTCCAGAACATTGGGTTTTCCAAAACAGCTTTACAAGATGGTCTCGCATCTGGTTCCGAAGATAATAAAGCAGATATTATAGTTCTCTGCACGATCATTAGCCACTCATGACTTTTTAACTGGGATAAGTCATACTTTCCTGTAAGAATATTTGCCTGCCTTCTAAGAGCATCTCCAAAGGGATGTTGTCCGTTCGACAGAACATAATAATATAGACACCCAAGTGAGAACATGTCTACCGCATACGTCTTCAAAATAAAACCGAAAATTATACATGTCAAAAGATTATTCTAGAGTGACTCACCGTTCGTTCTGTACTGTTCAGCATTTCGGGAGCAATCCAACCGTCGGTTCCTGTAACACCTGATCTCCTAGAAAAGGAGACTCTCCCTACTTGCAGTTTTTTGCAAAGTCCGAAATCAGATATCATTGCCCTTACTTGCCCTTTGTTGTCCGGCACTGATATAAGGACATTGTGGGGCTTTATATCTCTATGAACTAAAACGTCACAAAGTTATTACTGATTTCATAAAGACAAAATGACAGAACATGATGATTTTCAATAAAGAGATATAATAAATTAATTATTAAATGAAATAGACTACCCCAACAGAAAAATAACAATAACATTCCATAGTTCAAAATTACACTAACAGCTACGAAGAAATGAAAAAAATGAGATTACCAAAAGGTCCACAAGAAGACAATCAAAATGATCAATGACAGCTTTAGTTTATGATTCCTGTGATATTTTCAAAATTTAATTTCAATAAATTCTAATAAAATTGTTTTTAAGCAATGAAATGTCAAAAACCTGACAATTTTGTACTCACCAATATCTAGGGAATGTAAATGACACAGGCCAGAAGTGGCTTGCCTAAGTATTTCGATAGGGCTGATAGGATCTATGTCGCAATGACCCTGTACATAATCAGTCAGGGTAGCCTGACAAAGTTCTAGAGCGATATATCGAAACATTCTATCTTGTTCTGTACAGTAATATCGTATCACATGGGGATGATGATCACTTTCTCTAAGTAATGCTACTTCCCGATCTNTTCAGTTGTGAAAAACCCGTGGAAGTCAATTCTATTACATCATCTGCAATTTTTCAAATCACTGTTGAAGAAGCTACTGTGTTATCGAAACATGTGATATATTTCTCAAATAACGTTTGTGGAGATCAAATCGTAAGGTGTAGTTTATGAAATTACTATCAAGTCACGGCCGAATCAGTCAGAAAATGTTTGTTCTGTACCTACAAGTACAGCCAAGGCACCAGATTCTACGATCTGTAAACCAAATATAGTCGCAAAGACAGAGTGTTCATTTTCCCCGTATGTGCTGGTATAAGTTACAAAAGTATATCCTTCAAATCAGTTTCATTATGTATTCACTTATTTACTGTGTTGATTTGTGTTTTTTCATGGTTTTCAGTTTCTCCGTAAACTTGGTGGCGCTCAACAATTATTATAGCCACTCATATATTCAATAGAATAGAATATAATATTTATTTACCAATATTTGATGCAATAGTGTACATTTGGCACGTCACTTAAATACTATACAGTCATGTAACAAAATAAATGTAACAATAATATTTTTACCAATTACATAAGAACCACTACCCACTTCCGTTCAAAAAACTAGGCTGCCACCTGGCGAAAACTTGAAACCCAAAGAGTCTCCTTTAAACTGTAATATTTCAGTTAATACTCATTCAATTCAGTCGAAATACGCGTCATTTGATTCAGTGTATTTTTGCTAGCATAACTTGAAGACCGTTTTTGCCTGGTCCTGATTGGCGAAGGTTCGATCGCTGAGAAAGTTATCGAAGTGCTCGAACAAATGGTAATCGGCAGAACTTTGACGCTCAATTCGTTTCACTTTCTGACACAGATTTGTAAAACTTGCGGACAGGCGTTGTCGTGGAGCAGGATTGTTGACCAGGGTCGGGTGATGCTGACGCAATTTTCGGTACATTTCGTCGATTATCTCTCAATGGGACTCTGCTGTGATGGTTTGGCCCGGTTGCAGAAAGTTATATCGAATCACACCAGTCACTGACCACCATACAGTGTGTGTTTTGGTGTGTTTTCGCCTATGGTAAGTACTTGGGTGGCGCATCGGTGTCCAATCATTGTCCTGAACGTCTCTGTTGTCATAGAGGATGCACTTTTCATCACACGTGATGATCCGATCAAAAACTTATCGTTTTGGTTACACAAAAGCAAAGAAGAACAGACCTCAAATCGTGACAATTTTTGTCGATTGTACAAATCAGGGGGCATCCACTTTTCGAGCTTTTTAACTTATGATTGATGCAATCAAACGCCTTTGAAATATCGCAAAAAATTGCGGCAGCTACTTCACCAGCATTCAATTCAGAGTAAATTTCATATAAAAAAAAGAAGATAGCATCATTTGCATCTTTTTCCACCTTAAACCCAAACTGGTTTTTGCTTATAATACAGTGCAGTTTCAAGAATTTATCTAAACGTACTTTGACTAATTTCTCAATAATTTTTGCTAAAGTCGGTATTAAGGAAATAGGACGCAGATTTGAGGGATTATCTAAATCACCATCTTTATGTATTGGAATGACAACGGAAGTTTTCAGGGAAAACGGAATACATTCAGGTAAAAGCGGCGTTGAAACCTCATGGCTCCTACCGAGAAACGTCTAAATTGACAAATTGCCAAAAACGACTCTCCTCGATAGGAAGACTTAACAGATTATCTCTGGTCTGGATTCCTGGCCATACTGGCCTGGAAGGCAATGAGGTTGCTGACTCCCTTACAAAGGAGGGTGCTGCAAGCAGCTTCATCGGATCTTCATGGCAAGATTTATGGACTTCTGGCAGAATCTTCCAGGATTGGCTCACTCCAAGGCGTTTATTCGAAGCTTGATACCAAACAGTTGTTGAACTAGAGTAGGGATGAACTACGATGTCTAACAGGCCTCCTTGCAGGTCACTGTCATTTGAATCATCATATGCAGAGACTCGGACTGTCGAAAGACAGGGTGTGTCGCCTGTTTGGAAAATGATGAAACAGCAGAGTATATACTTCGTGCCTGCCCTGCTGAGGACCGAATCAGGTCTCTGAACGCATGAGATGAAGAAAACAAAACAGCTGAGGAAATGACACAGTCCTTCTAAACGTAACCTGTCCGATTACCGACCAAATTCTTTGATGGAGCGAATCCTCGCGAGTGACATCAGTAGTTCAAAGTATTATTATTATTGTTTTCAATCAAAATCTTATAAAATCAACCAGAATATATCAATTGAGATTCAAACAAACTAATGAAAATGTCGAAAGAAAACCTACAGTTGGGACGATGAAAGAATGGCCATACGTCGTTATCAATGTAAGTCCACAAACCGGCGCAAACTAATGAAAACGAAACAATGTGACCACTGCTCCGAACAAACTTTCCGTTTATTAAAGAATTGCTTTTATTTTTTAATTTGGCAGAATGTTCCGAAATTCGTTAGGAGAATTTATGACTGGTTACTCACCATCCATATTATCATAATTTACTCATTTTGTAAAAATATAACTTTTATTGCTTTATAATATTTCAAAACTAATCATAATTATGCCCTTGTTTCAGTTGTGAAAAACCCGTGGAAGTCAATCCCCTTCAAAGTAATAAATTGAAACCAATGGTAGAAAATATTGAATCAACTTCAGTAGTAAAACCTTCAGAAAGTATTGTTACCGATGCTGAAAAACCTATTTCCCAGAAACCTGTTGACACTAACGACTCTGCGAAGACAGAAATTATGATTGGAAACGACAAAGAAGAATTGAAATCTGCCAAAGAAAAACAGTGTTGGAACATGTACTGTAAAATGACTGAAAAGGGAATCAACGTTTCCTTTGACACCATTTTGAGAGGAATGTTAACCCCCACAGAGTACAGATTGAGCAAGAAGAATTTAGAGCAAGTATCGAGTTCCGAAGCTACTGAAACTTAAAAAGAAGAAGCGAATTTGTCGATTATATGTTTTGTGTTAAGAAAATAAAGTTTGTTTCGGTAATCTGCAATTCCTTGTCTCCACCTTCAGTGAGTGACTGAAAAGTATCATTATTGGTTCAATATACTTAGATATTATACCAAATTAGGTATTTTCATAACATTTAAGTGAAAATGAATAGCGCAATTTAATCCACTTTCCGACAAGTAATTATTATGTGAAAGCTATTTTACGTCTTTTTTGGCCGTGGTCTGCAGGTTTTTATGCCTGACGTTTCGTCTACTACTGCGTTAGACGTTATCAAAGGCGATGTAGTAACGGTCGCAGTTGCCACTGCGATTTCAAACCAATGAATTTGTCATACAACACTTAAAATTGAGATTTAAATAAGTTTTTGTTTAAATTGAAAGGGGAGATTAATGCTTGGGAAAGGTTTTGGCTTTCAAAGTACTTTTCCATCTTGATACAAAAAAATGTGGGAATCTTACAAAGGAAGGAAGGAAGCAATCAATTAAAAAAAAATTGAAGACAAAGATATGTAGATCTTGTAAAGAAGTGAATTTCAGACACAAACTGGAAGAAAAAGCACAGCTATTTTCATATAAACATCGCATGACGTGAAAAAAAAATACTTTTGAAACAAATACTTTTATATGAACGCTGAATTCTACAGGAAAAGAAACCTTTTTCTATTCCGTTTGTAGTCCAAACATTCGTAATGGAATCGAATCAGATTTCATTCACAGGATTCCTACACAATATAATGTAAGAAGTAAAATTTCACTTACATGGAACACTTGCCATCCTCATTGGTAGGCATCCGATGTTTCGCCATAAGACACTTGCTTTATTGGCTCGTCAGTACCAAATACGGTTAACATTATAAGAAACACTCAATTCGTTCTTTAAGTTACGAATTTTTGTCACGCAATGAGTTGAATCCAACCGTGTCATCGATGACAGTACGTAAATAACATTAATTAGCTTAAATCCCAGCCATAGTCGTATTTCTCAATTGGACAATGTTATAAGAAAGGAAATGATGAACAATTCATTCACTATAACTGAAGAATATTCGTTTATTACAAATAAATATTTGTGTTCAATTGCATACTGTTTATTTGCTGCATATAATCTGTGTTAAGAAACTAGCTTTATTTGCAGTAAATGAAATATGTATTTACTTATCAATTTCAATATACTTTTCATTTGACAAAGAGTTGCCTGAACGAATTTTTATTCTTCGTGTGGTTTTGGAGAGGTCACAGGTACAAAAATAAAAGCATTTGTCATCAAAAATATATTAACAATATTTGTGTCTTAGAAAAATATCTCAACTCAACTGTACAAACTTTAAAATTAATTTAAAACTTACGAACTATTTTAATGTGGTTATCACAGTCTAAAATAAGTCAAATTTCTGGTTTATTCTCCAGAACCCAAACCAAAGGCTCTTCCTTCTTTTTAATTTTCTTTTTTGCCCGAGGGTTACGAGTAATCCTACTTTTTTCTGGAGAGTCATGATTTCTGTACAAACCTCCAGACTTAATCAGATTTTTTGGATCAAACGTAACATTTTTTTTATTAGTAGATTCTGGAGAGTTTTCGGTATTAACCAAAAAAGGATCTTGTAAGGAAATAAATTCTTTGAAATGTTTTTCTGAATATCTGTAGGAATTGTTGTAGTACTTTCTGAAATTATCTTCATTAGCAACACAGTGCATCTTGATCCAAGTATGCGCTAATAATAACGGGAATCTATCTAACCAATATGTTGTAAACGCTTCAGAATCCCTTCCTAGAATATACTGGGCTTCCGGAGAGAGTTCCCTGAAGTGGTGTTTCTGAAATTTCAACAGATATATGTCAAAGCTTTTTCAAATAAATATGAATGTTCAACGAAATTTCGAGAAGGTTCAAGAAGCTCTCGACTCCTACCGAGCAACATCTAAATTGGTAGCAAATTACCAAAAACAACTCTCCTCAATAGGAAGACAGAACCTGTCATTGGCATCGTTTTAAGCTTTGCTAAACAAACATCTGGATGGAAAGAAGATTCATGAACTTCTGGCTAAATCTTCCAGGACTGACTGACTCCAGCCTTCGAAACTTGAAACCAAACAGTTGTTGGACTGTAGGGATGAACTATGATGTCTAACAATCCTTCTCACAGGTCACTGTCGTATGAATCATCATACGCAGAACTAGGGCTGTCGGTAGACAGTGTGTGTCGCTTCTGTTTGAAAAATGATGAAACAGCAGAGCACATACTTTATGCTTGCCCCGCTGCGGACCAAATAAGGTTTCAGACTTTGGCAGAGCCGCACTCTTACCATCTGACCTCAAAGATTACCCACCATATGAACTAATCGGCTTCGTTNGTCTTAAATTTCATACAGCCAACTCCAAAAACAAACTATAATTAGAGGTGTGTGGCAGCACTGTCCGGAATCCTGTTTTGAAATCAATTAAGTAGGTTTTCTGTAGTTTCAAACCTTCATCATTGATTGAATATAAGTTTTGAGTGAAATGTCTGTGTCCATGTGCGTTTTGTCTAGGAATTTTTATCAACATTTGAGAATCACAAAATTACAAACAAAAGGAATAAAAAAATTCTTTGCCATGTCTTTTTCTGAAGATTACGCTGGATGCTTTAATGATTCTCAGCAAATGTATTATATTTATTGCAATAATACAGGACCAAGAACTGAAGCTCGTGGTATTCTCTATCTT